CATTCCACATTGTAATGACTGGGTTCAATTCCTGGCTCTCTCAATTCCAGCATCCTGTTAATATAGACCTTGAGAGGCAACAGTGATGGCTAAAGTAGGTGGAGTCCCTGTCACTCACATAGGAGAACTAGATTGAGTTCCTGGCTCCTGGCTTCGGCCTGGGCCCCAGCCACAGATGTTGTGGGTATTTGGGGAGTGAACCAGTAGATGGGAGATTGAGATTGCTCTCGCTCACTCTCTCTCTCTCTCTCTACTCCCACCTCTCTCTCTCCCATCTTTCAAATAAATAAAGCTTTTTAATTAAAAAATTACAATTAAGTGAGCTAATCATTAATGCTTACCAGAAGACTAATCTTTTACTCAACTAAAAGGTGAAATGAAATAATACAAAAACATGTCATGATTCTCCCACTACAAACTCCTCTGCAGTAGGAATCACACCCTCAGAGCCCCGGTCAATCTACTACCCAGTCAGTGGGCCAGGAAGGGCTTATGGCATACAGGAGAGTGCATGCCCTATTGAAGGAGGACAGCTGATTCTAAGGCCAGACAAGTTATCTGCAGATAATGACACCCATACCCAAATCCCCACCATTAAATCCCCTACTATTTGAAATAACTACTGTGGCTTACATTTATGTGAATGAACTTGGACCAAGACAATATTTAACCTGGGTTTCTAGAATCAGGGCCTAATCCTCTGCTTCTAATTTGGCAAAAAAAAATCCCCAATTAAATTATTTTTCCTACTGAAATCCTCCATTTTTCAATTTTTTTTTTATTTATTTTTTTGACTGGCAGAGTGGACAGTGAGAAAGAGACAGAGAGAGAAAGGTCTTCCTTTGCCGTTGGTTCACCCTCCAATGGCCGCCGCTGCAGCCAGCGCACCGTGCTGATCCAATGGCAGGAGCCAGGATCCAGGTGCTTTTCCTGGTCTCCCATGGGGTGCAGGGCCCAAGCACCTGGGCCATCCTCCACTGCACTCCCTGGCCACAGCAGAGGGCTGGCCTGGAAGAGGGGCAACCGGGACAGAATCCGGCGCCCCGACCGGGACTAGAACCCGGTGTGCCGGCGCCGCAAGGTGGAGGATTAGCCTATTGAGCCACGGCGCCGGCCCATTTTTCAATTTTCAAACAGCATTGATAGCTACTGATAGTCAACTGCTCTCCTACCCCAGCAAGTTTCTCTAGATTCCAATTCTCCCCTAAAGTGTTTGCTAATATCAAGCCACGGTTGGCCCCTCTAAAACTCCCCTCCACTATATGACTCCATCCTGAAGAAAAGGGTAGCTATTGGTACTTAGGAAGGTGTTGGCCTCATAGGGTGTGGCATAAGGATAAGTGAGGAGCTGCACAAAGGGTCATTGTCTCCTGACACCAGGAGGTAGCTTGAGATTAGGAACTGAAGGAGTGGTGGTAAAGGCAGTGACATCAACGAAGGATACATGATTCTGGATACATCTTGAAAACAGTCTAGGAAAAGGAAAGAAAGTGAGAAGAACCAGCAGCAGTGGGAGGAAATTTCTCTCACTGCTAGTTCATTCTAGACTCTGATATTTTTTTGTTCCTCAGCACCAGGACATTTGCCTGAAGGTCTATGAGGTGGTTTTCATTTTATGTATTCAGATCTCTTCTTTTGCCTTCTCAGTATCCTCTGTAGCAGTGGACTGCATGTACTAATTATAACTACCAGCTATTGACTACATCTGATATGTAGTTGAACCGGATTTATTCTTAGCCTAGTGCTATAAAGCATAAACACACACAAAATCCAGTTCTTCCTCCCTCCTCCCACCTCTCCAACCCTGAACTGTAATTTCTAAGCCAAGGCCCAGGAAGCAAAGCGAACGCTCAGCACACGTGTGTGGTAAAGCAGCTACTGAGGGCTGCTCCCGCCTCTGCAGATACCAGGTGAGTCAACCACACCTCGCTTTGTGCTGCAGCTTCCAAGACAAGCATCCTTCAGGAAGCATTACCCGGCACCCGAAGCAGGATGACAGGTAAAAATCTGTTGATATTCTTTGCAGAGTGTTGATCTGTGTGAGCAGGAGCTTGCCCCAAAAATTCCCTTTCTGTTGACACTTGGCAGGACTTCTGTCAACAAAAGTTAAATCAACCAACAACTAGGAGAGTGTCTGGCACATGATAAATACTCAATACTTGTTTTTAAAAATCAGATGAAAATAAGCCAGGTCTAGTCTTATAATGAAGTAATATAGTAGAACAATTAGTGTCAAGCACATAGTAAATGCTACATATATATTAGCTATTGGTGTTATTATCATCATCTGGAGTCACTGTATCTCCTTGTTCCCATTCTGGAAATCAAGGGGGCTTCTTACACATCCTTCTCTCATCCCATTCCTCTTATTTAAATTCTATCATAACTTTCAAAGAGATTTAAATCACACCTCACACATTCACACGCAGTAAAAGATCATGGCCTCACTCTTGGGCATTGCTGATGGGAGAATAAGCAGCACAACACCTATAAAGGACAATTGGGAAACATCAATCAAAATTTCTATCATGTTGGAGAGTTTACCCTACAGGTTTTTTTTAATTTTTTTATTTATTTTTTGACAGGTAGAGTTAGACAGTGAGAGAGACAGAGACAGAGAGAAAGGTCTTCCTTCCATTGGTTCACCCCCAAAATGGTTGCTGCGGCTGGTGCACTGCGCTGATCCGAAGCCAGGGGCCAGGTGCTTCCTCCTGGTCTCCCATGTCAGTGCAGGGCCCAAGAGCTTGGGCCATCCTCCACTGCCTTCCCGGGCCACAGCAGGGAACTGGACTGGAAGAGGAGCAACCGGGACTAGAACCTGGAGTGCCGGCGCCACAGGCGGAGGATTAGCCAAGTGAGCCGCGGCGCCAGCCTACCCTACAGGTTAACTCACACCCACGTGACTTGCAGTATGTTCAAGATTTTCATCATTGCAGTCTTGTTTGAAATTGCAAAACAATTAAGCAAAGTGTCCTTGAATAGGGAACTTATTAGATGAAATCGTAGTAGATGTATAGAATGGAATACTCTACAGCAATGAACCAAGTTTTGAATGAGGAGACCTCTTTGTACTTACATGAGAAATCCAAAATGTATTGATAAGTTCATTTTTTAGTTTTTATTTTCACCTACTTGAAAAGAAGAGCAAGATGAAGAGAAAGAGATACATCTTCCATCTATTGGTTCACTACCCAAATGCCCACAACAACCAGTGCTGGACCAGGCTGAAACCAGGAGTCCAGAATGCCATCTAGGTTCTCCCATGGAAGTGGCAGGAACACAAGCACTAGAGTCACCATCTCATGCATCCAGGTGCATTAGCAGGAACCTGTTTCGGGAGCAGAGGAGCTGGGACTCAAATCAGCTCCCCAGTATGGAACACAGGCATTGCAAAATGGGGCGTAACTTGCTACACCACAACATTGACTCCAATATTTCTAAGTTAAAAAGTAAACAAATAAAACACAGATGGATAGTGAATAAAAACATCCCAAATTTTGCTTTAAAATCAGGGGATAAAAATATAGACTTTCATTTGTTTTGCATTAAGAAACTGGGAAGGGTAATTACCATAACAAGGAATGAAAAATTAGAACAATGGGATGGGGTGGGGGCAAGGTTTGAAGAGAGAATTTTTCACTATAAAACTTCTATCTATTCAAAATAGATGAGAGAAAGGATATATGATAGATCGATCGATTGATTGATCGATCGATCTAACTTTCAAGCAGAAGGAAAACTAGTCTTCTGCTCACCTAAACTTACTTGTCAATGCTCTGTGGATGAAGTTGACACCCTGGCTCCTGGACAGTCCTATCCTGCATCCTGCATGTTTTGTCCCCCACTCACTATGGGATGCCTCAGCCTTGGGATAGGGAACTGTGCCTCAACAGCTAGACTCCTATATTGGCTGCCTTAATCCAGCCTGTTGAGCTATGGCCCTATTCTCACATGTATGCATTCCTTCTAGGACACAAGAGTATGAATTAAGAAAAATCTCTCAGGTCACAGACTCAGCATTATAATTCTTCATTTCTTTGCTTCCATCGGTTTAAATTCATACACTTAATGTGATTTGCAAATAGCTTTGCGTGATATGATATTAGAGGTCAGAGGACTCCTCAATCCATCTAAAAATACATAAACACACTGCAATGAAAATCCATTAAAAGTAGAAATAACTAATCCTTTACATGCAGAGAATAAATAATTCACCTCCAGGCTCTCCCACCATAAATCAGTTGTGCCATTATCAGATGCCCAGACTGGCAGAGGAAAGCAAAGCAGCTGAATTAAACTTTGACAATAATAAAAAAGAATGGAAAAACTAGGGATGAAAGACTTATTTTCCTTCCATGTTGTTCTTAAAACAGACTACATAATGAATGAACTGGGGGGGAAATGCCTGATTTAATTCCATTTGTGATGAACCTTTTCCTAACTTTCCTGACTTTGTACCTCAAGTAAAGGGACTCCAGGATGTATCTGACTCATACATTATGGTTCTAGCAATGCCACATGCCAGTCCTCTGGTGTGACTCGGGCACCTGCTCCAGTGAAAGGTTTACAGAGAACCTGCCATCTTGGCCCTTGGAGCTCGCCCTGGATGAGGAAGGTGGGGCTCAGGGAAAGAATAGCATAGGAAGGAGCTGTTCTGCATCACAGATCCCCATCCTCACTGGACCATGGAAACTCAGGACTGATCACCCACAAAGGAGTCATAAGGAAAAGAACTGCCCCCACATCTCCTTGGTGAACAGTCAGGAAGGCTATGGAAGAGCTTTAGCAACGGAGAAGACCCAGCCAGGAGATAAGGATGACTCTGCAGAGTAAGATTCTCTCTTCATGCATTTTGCAATTTTTTCCATACTGCTTTTTCTCCAGGTGCTATTCAACTCCATAAATCCTGCCAACATCTCCGGAGTTAGGTTCCATTACTATCTCCATTTCACAGGTGAGAAGACATGCATAAGTGTACAACATGCATAAGAAACACTCACAGTTTAACTCAGCTGTGAATCAGAAAGTCCCAAGGACACTTCAGTTTTCATGAACTTCCAGAAGAGCTGCTGCCAACGCCCCCAGTTCTGTCCTGGGCCCTGGGCAAAAGGAAGAGAAAATCAGAGGCCAGAAACACACTACAAACCAATATGAAAGGTTAACAGAGCTGCTTTTGTGTCTTAATACTGATAGTTACATCAGGAATTGTTTAGGTTTTAGTAGGCAGGCTGTTCTCAGTATTCACAAACCTTATCTGTATCCAATTGATGAACACAGTGAAAAATGGCTGACAGTCAGTTCTTTGCAACAGCAATCATGTATCAGGAGAGATATGAGATCATTCTCAGGACAACCACACCCTGCTTCCATTTGAAATGAGCCCCCAAAAGTATTACTCAGCTTAGTACTTCCAAACATGGGCTATATCAGCAGTAAGAATGCATGCAATATGAAGTACAAAAGGTAAGCTATGTGTCAATTAGCTGTTTCCACAACAAAATGTGTGACAAGTAACCCAAAATTCAATGATTTTTGTTAGGACAACTGGGTTATTTTGATCCTTATACCATAGCATATACAAAACTTGACTCAGATGGCCTACATGTAAGAGGTAAAACATTATCTAGAAAGTAAAAAAACAGTCCACAGGAGAGAACATTTGAAAACTATATATTTGATAAGGATCTATTAACCATATACAGAACCCAACTTCATAATAAAAAGCAAACAACCATGGTGGGCATTTGGCACAACAGTTAAAAACAACACTTGAGACACCCAAATCCCATATGTGCCTGAGTGCAACTCCTGGCTCCACTTCTGATTCCGATTTCCTGTTAATGTGTTAATGTGCACTCTTGGAGGCCACAGATTATGGCTCAAGTAGTTGGGTCTCTGCACCCACAGGAGAGGCCCAGACAGTTTCTGACTCCTTGGTTCAGCCCTGCTTGCTGAGGTTATTTGAATGAACCAGCAGACTGAAGATCTGTGTGTGTATGTGTGTGTGTGTGTGTGTGTGTGTGTCTGGTAGAAGGGGGAGGGTCCTTTCAAATAAATAGTTTTTTTTTTTTTTAAAAGGAGGTGAATGTATTGAATAGATATTACTCCAAAGAAGATACACAACATATGGCCCAAAAGACACATGAAAAAGATACTCAATTTCATTAAGCATTACAAAAACACAAATCAAAACTACAGTGAAATATCACTTCATACCCACTAGGATAGCTACCATAATTTCTTTTAAAAAATATTTTTATTTATTTTGAAAGATAGAATCACAGAGAGAGGTAAAGCCAGAGAGAGAGAGAGGTCTTCCATTCTACTGGTTCACTCTCCAGATGACTGCAACCGCCAGAGCTGAGCTGATCTGAAGCCAGGAGCCAGGAGCTTCTTCCAGGTCTCCCATGTGGGAGCAGGGGCCCAAGGGCTTAGGCCATCTTCTACTGCTTTCCCAGGCCATAGCACAGAACTGGACCAAAAGTGGAGCAGCCACCCTCACTGTTGATGAGCAACTTGGTATGTTATCCCTCTTAGTATTTTTTTGTTTGTTCTACTTAATACTTTTGGTTGAATACTGTAATCAATACACATTTCTTCTTAAGTGCTGAAACTTAACTGAAAAGTGATCACTGTTAAATATAAGAGTGGGAGTAAGAGAGGGAAGAGATGTGCAATTCGGGACATGCTCAAGCTGACTTACCTCAAACGGTAGAGTTAGAAACATACCAGGGGATTCCAATTCAATCCCATCAAGGTGGCATGTACCAATGCCATCTCACTAGTCCCAGTGATCAATTTCTGTTCACAATTGATCATAATGATAGGACTAAGAACCAAAGGGATCACATAAACAAGAATAGTGTCTACAAATACTAGCTGATAGAATAAAAAAGGGAGAGAATGATCCAACATGGGAAGTGAGATACACAGCAGACCCATAGAATGGCAGATGTCGTAAACAGCACTCTGGCCTCAGAATCAGCCCTTAAGGCGTGCGGTTCCAGCTGAAAAGCCCATGAGACTATTTCAGGCATGGAAAGCCAAAACACTCTGGGGGGGGAAAAAAACCTAAATGAAAGATCTCTGCGAGTGAGATTCCAGTGGAAAGAACGGGTCATCAAAGAAGGAGGTACCTTTCTCTGAAGGGAGGAGAGAACTTCCACTTTGACCATGGCCTTGTCTAAAAATGATCAGAGTCAGTGAACTCAGGGGGCTTCCACAGCCTTGGCAGCTCATGACAAGAGCCTAGGGTGATTACTGATGCCATAAACGAGAGTGTCAATTTGTTAAGTCAACAACAGGAGTCACTGTGCACTTACTCCTCATGTAGGATCTTTGTCCTTAGTGTGCTGTACATTGAGATTTAATGCTATAACTAGTACTCAAACAGTATTTTTCACTTTATGTTTCTGTGTGGGAGCAAACTTTACTTAATCTTTACTTAATGTATGCTAAACTGATCTTCTGTATATAAAGAGAAACGAAAATGAATCTTGATGTGAATGGAAGGGGAGAGGGAGTGGGAAAGGGGAGGGTTGCGGGTGGGAGGGACGTTATGGGGGGGAAGCCATTGTAATCCATAAGCTGTACTTTGGAAAATATATTCATTAAATAAAAGTTTAAAAAAAAAAAAGTGGAGCAGCCAGGACTCGAACCGGTACCCAAATGGGATGTTGGTGCTGCAGGCTGGGGCTTTAACTCACTGCACCACAGTGCTGGACCCATCTACCATAATTTTAAAAGAAGAGGAAGAGAAGAAGAAAAAGATAAGGAGGAAGAGTAGGAGAAGGGAGAAAATGTGTATTGGTGAAGATATGGAGAAACTGGAATCTTCCTAAGATCCTGGTAGGCATGTAAAATGGTCCAACTACTACGGAAAATAGTTCAGCAGTTCCTCAAAAATTAAATATAGAATTACTTGTTGACCCAACAATTCCACCCCAAGATATATACTCAAAATAATAGAAAACAAGTATTCCAAGAAAAAAAATTGCACAGGAATACCTATAGCACCACTATTCACAACAGCTAAGGAAGAAACAACCCCAAAGGGGATCCACTGGGTAACAACATGGGATAAATCCATATGATGAAATATGATTCAGGCAAAAACGAAATGACACACTACATGCTGCAACATGGATGAACCTGAAAACTGTTATGCTAAATGGCACAAAAGGATACATATTGTATGAGTTCATCCATATGAAAAGTCCAGAATCTACAGATGCGGAGAGACAGCAAGCAGATTAGTGGTGGACAGAGGCTGGGGGAGGAGAGAAAGGAGTGTGACTTCTCCATGGGCATGGGGTATCATTTTAGGGTAAGGAAAATATTATAAAACTAGACAACAGTACAGGTTGTACAATACTATAAATGTACTGCCCATAAAATGCTGCATTTAATTCATTTTATGGTGATGAAAATATTAAAAAACTAGACAATAGTACAGTTTGCACAGTACTGTGAATGTATGCTAAATTTTATATGAATTATACCTCAAAAATATTTTAAAGATTTATTTATTTATTTGAAAGGCAGAGTTACAGAGGCAGAGGCAGAGAGAGAGAGAGCTCTTCCATCCACTGGTTCACTCCCCAGATGGCTGCTATGGCCAGAGCTGTGCTGATCCAAAGAGAGGAGTCAGGAGCTTCTTCAGGGTCTCCCAAGTGGGTGCAGGGGCCCATGGACTTCAGCCATCTTCCACTGCTTTCCTAGGCCACAGCAGAGAGCTGGATGGGAAGTGGAGTGTGGGTGATCCTGTGCCTGGCTGGGAGACTGCCTGCCTAGCCCATGCAGGAGGGTAAGAGGGCATGGCACACCATGCCTCCTGGGTAGGACTCTATGTCCTGACTGCTGGCAGGCGGTAGGATCCCCAGGCACACTTCCCCCACCCCTGCTCCCTGTTGAAGGGCCTTGTAATTACCAATCAGGTAAACAGCTCCTGGCTGTGGCTCAGGCCCATAAGGACCACCTTGGAGGCTACACAGGCTACGTGACCACGTAACCTTGAAGCTGATTGGAGAAGCATAGCCGCACCAATATCAGCTTTATCCTATAGAGTTAGTGTTGCCCTGAACTAGCTACACCCCTTCTGCCTTCTGCCTGCCTTTTAAAAGGTGTGCTTGATTGTTAATAAATGGACATGTTCACCGAAACATGTCCCCGGCGCTTCTTGTTGAAGAACACCATTGCCCCACCATCCCGGCAATGCAGCCCTCAGGACTGGGGAAGCCAGGACTGGAACCAGCACCCATATGAGATGCTGGCACTGCAGGTGGCAGCTTTACCCACTACGCCACAGGGCTGGCCCCTCAAAAAATTTTTAAACTCAATGGTTGCAATTGTCTAGACAAGATTTACTGTGTTCCCCAAAAAGCTCATGTGCTGGAAATCTGGTCCCCAGGATGACAATATGAAAAGCTGGTAAAACTTTCAAGAGGTCAAGTCTAGTGGAAGGGAATTAGGTCATGGGGGCATCACTCAGAAACAGTTAATCCTGGCTCATGGCAAATTAGGGCCTGCAAGAGCAACTTGTTGGAAAGCAAGGCCACCTCATGCCATTGGCTTCTCTTTTTCTTCTTCCCTGCCAAGTTGTAACGCACCCAGGGGTTCCTCACCAGAAGCTACACAAATGGGAATGCCAATCTTGGACTTCCAACCTTCAAAACTGTGAATTTTTCTTTATAAAATACCCAGATTCAGGTGTTTTGTTAAAGCAACAGAAAATGGACAAATACAATGGCTTTTCTTATTCTCAGTCATAAAATTTGTGGGTTGATTGAGGGTACAGTGATTTGGTCTGTGGTAGGTTGGGCTTGCATTCAGGCTACAAACTGGGTCCAGGTCTGCTTCACATGTCTCATTCTCCTTCAGATCAGTAGACTAGACAGGGCATATTATTCCGTGATGTTAGAAAGACAAGAGGGCAAGCCCAGTACGCAGATGCATTTAATGCCTTAGCTTGGATAGTGTCTGCTAACATCCCGTAGCCCAAGCAAATCACACAGCTGAGATCAAAGACAAATGACAGGAAGTGTACCCCACTACTGCTCAAAGGTACTGCAAAGTTGAATGGACAAGGACAAGAGTGTGC